CACTGCTCCTGGAATGTTTGAATGATTTTTCACCTTACCATCTTCCAGAGACAGTTCGCTTTTCGAGGCCGCCGAGTGGCTGAAAACTCTCCTAACAACGGAGAGATAAGCAGATTCCGAACTTGCAAGGACGCATCATCAACATCTTTTGGACATTCTTCCAACTGCTGCGCCTTCGGATTTCAGTTCGTGCTGGAACAGATTCAATTTACACAATGCTGTGAACTTCATCTGAGACTCGGCATCGCCAGCATCAGCCAAGCAAATAGTATGAGAGAACTGTAGCACTGTTTGAGCCTCGAAAACATGCTGCCTTTGACTCCTCACCTACTTAAACCCTGCGAATCATAAGACGTCAAGTAAGATTTACTGTGCATGCTGACCAAATAGCTTGGTGGACACAGAAAGCAATGAACATGGGATGAGTGTTGGATGCCGTGCGGCCAGTCCCTGAGAACCACCAGTGTGTGAAATCATCAAAGCTAAAACCTATGCGACCATCTTCAATAAAGGACGCATTGGCCAGCGAGCCGAGTACTGTGAACAACATTCCTCTTGGCCACAGCTGCCACTCAGCTTATCCTAGGCTAAGCGGGTATTTATGACTATACACCTCTCAGGCGCCCTCTTCATCATCGGAAACAGCAACATCAATGTTGACACTGATGCTCCACTGCCCTACAACCATAAAGTTGCTATAATTATTTTCCAATCCTTAGAGTGAAAATATTAAAGTATGGGTGAGGGAGATACCTAGAACTAGTTTACGTCAGGTATTCTGAATTACCTACACCTTCAAGCACTTAATCAGTCATTCTGAAAGGAAAGACAGCACGAACGCCACTGACATTGATCAGCCGTCATTTCTTGCAATGTCTCCAGCCAAGCGTAGGAGGGATCACGGGAACCCCATCCTGGAAGGCGTACAACACCCAAACTCTTCCTAATCTCTCACATCCTTCTTCCAAGTTATGCGCTGTCCACCTTGCGGTTTCCGCCATTCTGAATTAAGCATAGAGAACAACACTCGTCTCGGTAGACAGTGTTTCGGCATGCGTAACACATGGCTGAGCTGCCGTAGCTGGAAGAACCGCTTAGACAGCTGATGGTGCTGGGTGTTTTTTGAGGTTGAAGTACTTGGTGTACAACCAAATGCTCGTTTTTCTGCTTAGCGCGTATGTATCTATGTGTGTAGGTAAAGTAGGTATGTAGGTATTTAAAATTTTCCACAATATGTAGTGATTCTTCTTGAATTGTACTAAATGTGTTCAGAGACTGCACGTTCTGAAGCATGACTTCGCATTTTGAACCTGCAAGGTGAGTGCCAAAAATGGTATGATAGTGGTCAGTCTATTCAACAGGGCTCTTTGGTTTTCGAAAATGAAAGGAATGTCAGATGCGTACTCCAGGTCGATGACGCTCTCACCGGCAACAGTTTGAAAACCGGGGTTTTGAAGACTTTCCAGCGTCCGCCTCATTAGTTCATCAATGATGAAGTTAAACAAGAAAGAGAGAGTGGACATCCTTGTCGGACGCCACTTTTGTAGGTAAACTTCCGTACACTCACCCACCCAAGGTTATGCGAGCATAGGGGTCGGATTATGTTCATACACTTCTGGGATGTGCCCTGTTGAACAAGTGTGGTTAACAGCACGATCGACAGAATCTGACGCGCTCCTGAAGTCAGGGAACATCAAGATCGTGGGTCGTCTGTACATGTGGCATTGTTGCAACATCTGACGGTGTGAAGAGATGGTCAACGAAGTCTCTACCCGATCGACACCCCGATTGATTCGGGTCAACGTTACGCGTTCCACTGTAAGACGTTGAAGAACCAGTGACGTCAGAAGCCTTGTCACAACATGAGCCAAACTAACAACTCTGGTTACCACCCTTACTGTCGGTACTCTTTCGGATTCAGCCCAGTTGTTTGGGATGGTCTCTTTCTCCCAGATAGACCCAAATAGGCTGGACAGGCACTAAGAGACCCACCGCCATCTCTGAACAGAGCAGTTGGGACATCGTGAGGACAAGCAGTACGGTGACACCCGAGTATAGATATACACTCGGACGCTTTTGAAGTTGAAGGTGGCTCTATAATCACCGTCCACCTTTCGGTTGAAAACCAGGATTCCGAATGAGCGGTACCAGGTAATCAACTGAATTGCTGTTCGGAGTACTGTGTCTAGCAGTCCGGACGAGCACAAGTTTACTGACCGGAAGGTCCGTGGTTCGAACGCGACATCTGCCTCTTGGCTTCCTCTTGGCAACATGGCAGTATCCCAGCCCTCGTGCTTCCTTTGGGTGGCATGGCAGCTAAGCACCGAAAAGATTTTACAGCTGAACGCTTATCTTTTATTTAGTCCGGATGTTCTACTCTGATAAATATCAGGACTTTCGGATCCACCAAACTTCTCGTTCTGCGCGGACACTCAGCTTCAGCAGGCGCCGTGTGATGCGTCGGGCTGAGTTGTGGTTGCAATCAGGGGGATCTGTCCCCGGGCCTCCAGCAAAGCCACAGTCCTATCAGAGGTCCAGTGTTTTGACAAAAGTTCCGAATTTGAGTGTTTGGATATCTGTCCC